AGCACTTTGGGAGTCCGAGACGGGAAGATCTCTAGAGCTCAGGAGTTCGAGATCAGCCTGGGCAACATTGGAAGACCTAGTCTCTATTATTAAAAAAAGAAAGAAAGACATTATAAGGCTATAATGTCTTATAATGTTGCCACTAATAGTGATTCCTTTTGTGGATCTGGGCAAAAGGAATTGAAAACCTTCTGGAAAGGATTCACCATTCTAGATGGCATGAAGAACATTTGTGATTCATGGGGAGAGATCAAAATATCAATATTAAGCCTAGGCATGGTGGTTTACGCCTGTAATCCCAACACTTTGGAGGCCGAGGTGGGCAGATCATGAGGTCAAGAGATCGAGACCATCCTGGCCAGCATGGTGAAACCTCGTCTCTACTAAAAATACAAATATTAGCCAGGTGTGGTGGTGCACGCCTGCAGTTCCAGCTACTCAGGAGGCTGAGGCAGGAGAATCCCTTGAACCCGGGGGCAGAGGTTGCAGTGAGCCGAAATCGCACCACTGCCCTCCAGCCTGGCCACAGAGCGACACTCGCTCTGTCTCCAAAAAATATATATATATGTATATTATATATACATTTATAATGTACCTACATTATATATACATTTTATATATATATAATATATAAATAATATATATTTATAAAAACGTAAAACAGGAGTTTGGAAGAAGTTGATTCCATCACTCATGGATGTCTTTGAGGGGGTTCAAAACTTCAGTGGAGGAAGTAACTAAAGGTGTGGTGGAAATAGCAAGAGAACTAGAATTGGAAATAGAACCCAAAGATGGGACTGAATTGCTATAATCTCATGAATAAAGCTTGAACAAATGAAGGGTTGCTTCTTATGGATGAGCAAAGAAAGTGGTTTTGCTGGGCACAGTAGCTCACGCCTGTAATCCTAGCACTTTGGGAGGCAGAGGCAGGTGGATTGCCTGAGCTCAGGAATTCAAGACCAGCCTGGGCAACATGGTGAAACCTCGTCGCTACTAAATATACAAAAAATTAGCTGGGTATGGTGGTGGGTGCCTGTAGTCCTAGCTGCTCGGGAGGCTGAGGCAGGAGAATTGCTTGAACCCAGGAGGCAGAGGTTGCAGTGAGCTGAATTCGTGCCACTACAGCCTGGGCAGCAGAGTGAGACTCTGTCTCAAAGAAAAAAAAAAAAGAGTTTCTTGAGATGGAATCTACTGATGAACATGCTGTGGACATTGTTCAAATGACAACAAAGGATTTTAGAATATTGCATTAATGGAGCAGCAGCAGAATTTGAGAGGATTGACTCCAGTTTTGAAAGAAACTTACGGGCAAAATGCTATCAAGCTACATTGCATGCTACAAAAAAAATCTTTGTGAAAGGAAGAGTCAATTTATGTAGCAAACCTCATTATCTTAAGAAATTGCCAGAGCCACCTCAGCCTTCAGCAGTCACTACCATGATCAGTCAGCAGCCATCAACATCAAGGCAAGACCCTCCACCAGCAAAAAAAATATGATTTGCTGGAGATTCAGATGATTGTTAAGGTTTTTTGAGCTACAAAGTATTTTTTTAACTAACATGTATATTATTTTTAACACATAATGCTATTACACACTTAATTGACTATAGTATAGTGTAAATGTAACTTTTTAAAAATTTGTTTGTTTTTAGAGACAGAGTCTTACTCTGTCACCCAAGCTGGAGTGCAGTGGCTTGATCAGGGCTCACTGCAGACTCGAACCGCTGGTCTCAAGCAATCCTCCCACCTCAGCCCTCCAAGTGGCCAGGACTACAGGTGTGCCCCACTACGTCTGGCTAGTTTTTGTATTTTTTTCCCGAGACAGGGTTTCGCCATGTTGCCCAGACTGGTCTCAAACTCCTGGGCTGAAGTAATCTGCCAGCTTCAGCCTTCCAATGTGCTGGAACTGCAGGCATGAGCCACTGTGCTCAGCCTAAACCTTACAATTTTCTAGAGGTTTATTAACCAGAAAGAACAGACCCTATTGTCATTTCTTATATTTTTTTATGCTGAGATTCTTTCTCTCATTATAAAAAAAAAAAAAAACAGAAAAGTCGAGCCGCACATCGTGGCTCACATCTGTAACCCCAGCACTTTGGGAGGCCGAGGCAGGCAGATCATGAGGTCAGGAGTTCGAGACCAGCCTAGCCAATACGGTGAAACCCCGTCTCAACTAAAAAAAAAAAAAAATACAAAAATTAGCCGGGCATGGTGTCACGGGCCTGTAGTCCCAGCTACTTGGGAAGCTGAGGCGGAAGAATCGCTTGAACTCGGGAGGCGGAGGTTGCAGTGAGCGGAGATTGCACCACTGCACTCCGGTCTGGGAGTGACTCATCTCAAGAAAAAAAAAAAAGTCATGTGTTGCTTAACATCAATATATTTTGAGGCCGGGTGCGGTGGCTCACGCCTATAATCCCAGCACTTCGGGAGGCCAAGGTGGGCAGATCACTTGAGGTCGGGAGTTCAAGACCAGCCTGGCCAACATGGTGAAACCCTGTCCCTACGGAAAAAAAAAAAAAAAAATTAGCTGGGCATGGTGGCAGGCACCTGTAATCCCAGCTACCCGGCAGGCGGAGGCAGGACAATCGCTTGAACCCAGGAGGCAGAAGTTGCAGTGAGCTGAGATCGCACCATTGCACTCCAGCTTCAGTGACAGAGCAAGACTCAATCTCCAAAACAAAAAAAGAATATGTTCTGAGAAATGCGTCATTAGAGAATTTTATCCTGTGAACATCATGGAGTGTACTTACATAAACGTAGATGGTATAGCCTACTAAAAACCGAAGCTATATTGTGTAGCCTATTGCTCTTCGGCTGTAAACCTGCACTGCATGTCACTGTATTGAATACTATAGGCAACTGTAACACAATGGTAAGTACTTACATATCTAAACTTTTTTTTTTTTTTTTAACGGAGTCTCGCTCTCTCTCCAGGCTGGAGTGCAGTGGCGCAGTCTCAGCTCACTGCAACCTTCGACTCCCTGGTTCAAGCAATTCTCCTGCCTCAGCATCCCGAGTAGCTGGGATTACAGGCATGCACCACCATGCCCAGCTAATTTTTGTATTTTTAGTAGAGACGGCGTTTCACCATGTTGGCCAGGATGGTCTCGATCTCCTGACCTCTTGATCCACCGGACTCGGCCTCCCAAAGTGCTGGGATTAACAGGCGTGAGCCACCGTGCCTGGTCATATCTAAACATTATAGAACACAGAAAATTGTGAAAAGTATAAAGAAAAATTCACTCACTTTCACCAAATGGAGATTTACAAAATAACAATTTCCTTTTTTTTTTTTTAAGATAACAATTTCAGTATTACTATCTTACAGTCTTTTTCTTCTATAAATGTTAGCATTGTATTTGAAACCAGTTACACGCATAGTCAGGCATACCTTGGAGATATTGAGGTTTCACTTCCAATCCACCACAATAAAGCAAATATTGCAGTAAAGCATGTTACATGCAGGTGGATCACTTGAGCCCAGGAGGTTGAGGCTGCTGTGAGCCAAGATCACGCCACCATAGTTCAGCCTGGACAACTGAGTGAGACCCTGTCTCAAAAAAAAAAAGAAAATTATAAGGTTTAATACAATTTTCTCTGTTTCTTACATAAGCCATTCTTAGGCAAGAAAAAAAATTCTTTGTGAATACATGATGTTATGGATTCATAGACTCTCATCCTTGAAAGAGGCCTTAAATTTGACATAGCTTTTTTTTTTTTTTTTTTTTTTGAATCATATACTTCAGTCTCCACATGGTTTGGTGGATTCACTTAAGGAGAGGTTAAATTCCCGTTTTGTCTTTTGACAGATCTATTAAATTATTAGAATGGTTTCTGTTCTTTGGCAGATCTGTTAGAATAAAATTTCTTTTCCCTATGGCTTCATACTTTTGTCCTTGTTTTGCTTCCTGAGATCACACCAGTTTGATTCCTCTTCCTGACAACGGTTATGCCCTTCCTGCATTGTTTTTTTATATTTCTTCTACATTTCACAAAGCATAATTAAAATCTTAAATTATTAATTTTATTGGTAATTATTTCTCATTCACTTCTACTTTAACTTTTTTTTTTTTTTTTTTTTTGAGACAGGGTCTTGCTTTGTGGCCCAGGCTGGGTTGCAGTGTTATGATCACCAGTCACTACAGCCTGGATCTCCTGGGCTCAAGCGATTCTCTTGCCTCAGGCTCCCATGTAGGAGATACTACAAATGTGTGCCACCACATGTGGCTAATTTTTTCATTTTTAGTAGAGATGAGGTCTCTCTCCGTATACCAGGCTGGTCTTAAACTTCCAAGCTCAAGTGGTTTTCCCAGCTCGGCCTTTCAAATTTGGCCAGACTGGTCTCGAACTCCTGACCTTAGGCAGTCCATCCACCTCGGCCTCCCAAAGTGCTGGGGTGGCAGGCGTGAGCCACTGTGCCCGGCCAACATTTTTTAAAGTTAGATAGCCAACTTGAACCAGAAGCTCATCTGTGATCCAGCCAGAATAAACCAATACCCTTTACTTCCCTCATTCTTATTGTGTATTCTCATAGTATTATGTAATAGTCTTTTAGAAAACATGTTACAGTATGTGATTGATTCAAGATTTTTTTTCTAAACCTTTAAAAAATGAAAAAATATAGCATTGCTAAACCTTGTCTTCTTATTTAGTACTACTATAATTGTGTTTTAGACCAGGTTTTTCAATCTCTTTTAGAATTCCCGTTGTGTCCACACATTCCCAGCCCTCTCAAGTTCATATCCATCAAAAAGCTCTCAGTATGTCATCTGTAGTTTCATCTATGTCATTTATAAAAGTGTTGAATTGGTAATTTAAGATTCTTAAAATCCTTAAAGTTTAAGATTTCTTTAGTCCTGGATATTATAGAAAAAAAGTTTTGAAATAAACATCAGAAGAAATTTGGAAAATAATTTTATTGATAACTTTATTTTCAGATTTCTAGTTTGGAATAGAAGTCAAGGTTTTTATAGTCTGTATTACTTTTTCTTTGTTTTCAGGGATCCATCTGTCTCTAAGTCTGTAGAACGAATCTTTAAAATCTGGGAAGATAGAAATGTATACCCAGAAGAGATGATTGTGGCATTGAGAGAAGCTTTGAGTAAGTGTCTTTTTTCTCTCCTAAAAGAAATTTTGAGTCAGTCTTTACAATTACATAATTTTATAGATATGGTCATGTTGTATAATAGTGAAAAATTAAGTTTTGAATCTAGCCCTATTTGTTTAAAATTAAATACTTTTGAGAAACCTAGATCTGTTTGAATTAAAATGTAAATAGAATTGGTTTTAGGGATGGGGTTGGATTTTGTTTTTTAGTGATAACAAAAGTCAAGCATATTAAGTGGTGATAGCCATCTGGTTATTTTCCTACATTTGCATTGAGTGTTTCAAATGGTTCATTGTTTGTGTTAATAAATACTGCCCTGTGCCCTTACTGTTGGAGAATTTTTCACAGGGTGTCAATTCCTACTAAGCTGTTTGGTAGTAAGCATATATTGGCAGTCTTTAGACTGTCTTTTGATTTAGATTTACAGTAAGTTGTGTACTGTTTTGTTAAAAAGAATTTAATTCTTATGTATTATATGCTTGTAATTAAGTTATTGAGTAGAAGTTGGTGATAATCTGCTACCATGACCGTCATTTGACTAGAAATTTGCTTTAAAAATGGCATCTTCTAAGAAGCTGTTAAATTCTTCATTTTAATTTGTTAATTGGTATTTTTAAGCCTCCTTCCCTATTCTTTTAAGAATTGGTAATTTCACTGATGATGATAATCGTGTTTATTTGACAGCTTCTTAGATCGGGTAGGAATTTCTATTTTTTCATAAAAATGAAAGAAAAGGAAAGAAAGAAACAACACACAGTCTCGGATTGCCTTTTTTCATGCTGCAACTTTGGCACTGAAGTGGACAGACAGAACAGCTTCCCATAATGCCAGATTGCAAAAACTGAAATGTTTTCCAGGTACCACTTTCAAAACTCAGAAGCAGCTGAAAGAAAATCTGAACAAACAACCGAATAAGCAGTGGAAGAAATCACAAAGTAAGGAACAAAATCTCAACTAATATAAAATTACCTCCTCTTTTTGGAGCAGAAGAAAATGTAGACCATTTGACATCGTACCTGGCATAAACCATGGGCAAGCCTGTTTTCCAGGCCTGGGAGGCTCCCAGTGACCTATGATAAACAAGCCATCATGGAGTTACTTCTTAAAAAAAAAAAAGCAAACAAAAACTACACTTTAAAACAAAGGAAATGCAGAAAAGGGTTTAATTGAGTGAAGATTCAAGAGTAGTTGGGGGATTGAAAGAAGAAAAAAATACTTGATAGTGTCCAGGCTAATTTTCAGGTTCAAGGATATATGACGTTAGAGGCAGCTGGCATTAAACAACAGATCTGAAGAGGAGACTAGGCATTAAGAAGCATTTCTGTGGGAACCATGAAATCTCCAGATTTGGGGGATATACTCTACCAAATTAGACGTGGGCCTCAGATCCTGGCCAGAAGCTCATTCTGTAATGGGAGCTCCTGTTATATTTATCATATTTACCCAGCATGAGATCAAGGGAATGGAATACTGCATGTGATAGGCTGCTGTGGGCAAACTGAGGAATATTGAGAGAGACTTGAAGGTATGGAGGGAACAAAGTAAAAGAGAGTGAGAATTGGGAGGTAAAACAAGACACTTGGGATGGTTTTGCTCCAGCGAGCATATGGTATCCATCATGATTAAGGGAGTCCTCAGACATCCTTTTGGTCGTAAGTTGCATGCTTAGGAACAACAAGAGTCGTCATTTCAGCCAAAGTTCAACCACAGTGTTAATATACCTAGAAGTTTCCTTGCCTATTTTTGCTATGAATTGAGTCAGCAGAAAAAGAAATTCAAAGGATAAATATATAGGAATAGAGTTATTTGTCACTAATTTTCTTCAGCCAGTGCTCAGGATTAATTGGATGTCCTGTTCCTGAACACTCTTAATTTGAGGTATTTAGATCCTCTTACACCCACACTAGGAAAAAAAGGTACTTGATGTATCTCGGTGTCTCCAAATCAATAATTCTAGGACTTTATGACTTCAAGGGTCTGTTGGAGGTAAGTAGATTAGGTCTGTCTAAATAGCATATTTTTACATTGACCACGTTTAGGAGTGTTCACATTTCCTAGTCCATTATTTATTTTAGGAATTATGACTTAAATGTGCATGTTGCCATATGTTCAGAGTATATCCTTAACTATAGAGCTAAAATTTTTCCTATTAGTCAACTTTTTGTGTCTGTATTCTTAATGACCTTTTGTTTAATTCCAACAGCATCTACAAATCCAAAAGCTGCTCTCAAGTCTAAGATAGTTGCGGAATTTCGAGTAAGTTACAGAATTTGTTTAATACAGCAAAGTATTATTCACCTCTTTTGTATTATAGTTTCCTGTGTAGTCCAATAAGATTTATTTGTATTCAGTTACACCTGTCATGTTTTCAACATGCGGGAACTGTTCTAAAGGAACCCAGATTGGGATTAGATTGCTTGGCATTTTATCTGTTCCCCTAATGGTAGAAATAACCTTCTTCCAGTATATCTATTATCAGCTGAGTTCTGTATTCAATTTATGCCAGCAAGAGAGTTTATTTTCCTGTGAAACTCTTTCTAAATTAGAATTTGCTTACAGAAGGCTATGTTTATGTAATTAAAATTTAAAGAGGCTTTGTAAGTGGACCTTTGTCTGTTTTAGTCTTAACTCTGTATCCATAAATTAGCTTTGTATAATTAAGGAAAAGGATCTTTTAAAGTCTATAACTAAACATGATTTTGACATGAGAATTGATCATTAATATCTGTGACTGTGAGAAAAAGTGAAAAGTTTTTTCCTCCCAGGGTTTTGTTAAACTTTAGGGTTTTGTTTTTGTTTTTGTTTTGTTTTGTTTTGTTTTATAAAACAGGGAGAGATAGAATGAGAATAATTGAATGATCTTGTAAATGAAATATGACTCTGGTCTGTGTTTAGTCTCAGGCCCTAATTGAAGAGCTGTTGCTATACAAGCGCTCAGAAGATCAGATAGAACTGAAGGAAAAGCAGTTGTCAACTATGAGGGTGGATGTGTGCAGCACAGAAACTCTCAAATGCTTAAAAGGTAATGCTTACATCCTTTTAGAATAAGTCAGATTTTCTTTCCATATCTGTCATGTTTCCAGTAATCATACTGGTTTACCTCATAAGGAGAGCCTTGGGTAGAAAATAGTTGTGGCACCTCTGGTTTCCCAGGTAGTTGTTTCATGCATATAAATTTCGTAAGTAAATTCTATCTTTCTCATTTCTAGTACTTTCTTGGTGTATTGGGTTATATATATAGACAGTTGTATTTCACATGTGTGGTTACTTGGTATGGGTATGCTCTTCAATGAAGTTACTCTAATGCCTCATAAAAACTAGTTAGACCATCTCTTTTCCTTGCATTGTAAATTGTAAATCATACTAATAATTTATTATAATGTAAGCCTCATGAAGGCAGAAATTGTATTGATTTGTTCATTGCTATACACTGGCACCTAGAGCTATACTTGGCACATAATAGATATTTGATGAATATTTTTGAAATAATAAGTAAATGACTACTAGCTATTAATTTTGGCACCAATTTTATTCCTGTACCATACTTTAAACTTAACAGACCAGGCACAGTGCCTATAATCTCAACTCTTTGGGAAGCCAGGGCAGGAGGATTGCTTGAGACCAGGAGTTTGAGACTAGCCTGGGCAACATAATGAGACCCTGCCTCTACAAAAAAATTTAAAAATTAATGTACTTGGTGGCACACACCTGTAGTCCTAGCTGCTCAGGAGGCTGAGGCAAGCAGATTGTTTGACCCCAGGAGGTCGAGGCTATAGTGAACTGTGATCATGCCACTGCACTCCGGCCTGGGTGACAGAAGAGACCGTCTCTAAAGAAAACATTTTTTTAAACAAATAATTAATTTAACATATATTATCTAATTCAATCATCATAACAGAAAACATGCTAAAAATCTCTATTTTATCACATGAGAAATCTGAGGTCTTGTAAGGAGATTAGTAGCTTGCCCAAGTTACACAGCTGGTAAGAGGCAAAGCCAAAATTGATACTCACATCCAAAGCCGTATTCTGCCAGTCACTGGGAAAGAAGTAGATGTACTGAATTATCACGAATCTTTTTCAGATAGGAAAGAATAACTTTTATTGTGTGCATACAGAGGTCACTTTATTTTTACTTTTCTGAACGTTACTTTTCTTGTTTAAGAGATAACATCTTACTGCCTTCTGTAATGCAAAAGTTGTGGTATAAGTGAATAGAATTGAGCTTCATTCTGTTATTCCTAAGTAAGTAGCAGTGTAGAATCCAATTTGTGAAGAAAATAAGTAATCACCAAACTCTTTTAGTTGAACTTTCTTTTCTTTACCTTAGTTACAAGTGCCTTCACTCTGGCAGGTTCACATGAGTCTGTTTTGTAAAGAATTTTAATAATCTGTTTTGTGGTTATGTAATTTGGAGAAGCTTCTTTAAGATAAAATTGTTAGGCCGGGTGCGGTGGCTCATGCCTGTAATCCCAGCCAAACTTTTGGACGCGCCCAAGCACGGCCCAGACTCACGCACGGGTCCACTGCCAGACTCCGAGACCATCTGGCCTTGACCAACACACGCTGAAGACCGCCCAGTCTCCCCCTAAAAAATACAAAAATTAGCGGGCATGGTGGTGGGCGCTGTAGTCCCAGCTACAGGCTGAGGCAGGAGAATGGCGTGAACCTGGAGGCAGAGCTTGCAGTGAGCCGAGACCGCGCCACTGCACTCTAGCCTAGGTGACAGAGCAAGACTCCGTCTCAAAAAAAAAAAAAAGATAAAACTATGAAACTAAGAGTATTGCCACAGTAAGGCAGCACAGAGTATGTTCACAAAGAGAGTTTTCTTCAAAAGTCAAAAGACTACATTTTTTTTTTTTTTTATCCTGAAACGAATACTTCCCATGTCATTTAGATAAAACAGGTGGGAAAAGTTCTCCAAAGAATTTGAAGAGGCAAGCTCCAGCTGTGAAGAATTTGTGAATGGATTAGATAAGCAGGTGAAAACGGACCCTCATTAACAGAAGCACTGGAAAATGCTGGAATTTTCTATGAAGCACATACAAAGAAGTAAAAGTGGTGGCCATGTAAGTAATAATTAAAGCTGTTATGCTGAATGCCTTGTTACTAGTTTTTCAGAGATTATTAACATGCAATTATCTACTGTTAGGATAAGCATTTTTAATCTCATCGTAGATGAAGAAATTACTTTTGGGTAGATGTTGTAATCCCAGCACTTTGGGAGGCTGAGGCAGGAGGATTCAGAAGAGAGAAAAAATATAGAGAGAGATATATATTATATATAGAGAGAGAGAGTTTTGTGAAATCTTTTTTTTTTTTTTTTTTGAGACGGAGTCTCACTCCTGTTCCCCCAGGCTGGAGTGTCAGTGGCCAGATCTCAGCTCAACTCGCAAGGCTCTGCCTCCTGAGTTCACACGCCAATTCTCCTCCTGCAGAACCCTCCCGAGTAGCTGGAACCTACAAGGCGCCCGCCACCGTCGCCCGCTAGTTTTTTTGCCTATTTTTTAGTAGCAGACGGCGGGTTTCACCGTGTTAGCCAGGACCGGTCCTTGACATCCTCCGACCTCCGTGATCCACCCGTCTCGGCCTCCCAAAGTGCTGGGATTACAGGCTTGAGCCACCGCGCCCGGCCGCTGTTGAATCTTATCTATGGTTAAACCCATCTATTCTTAGTTGGTTTACTTTTTGGTTCTAGAATTGCCACTTCAATTTAGAGACGAGTCTCACTGTGTCTCCCAGGCTAGAGTGCAGTGGCGCGATCTCAGCTCACTGCAACCCCCGCCTCCTGGGTTCAAGCGATTCTCCTGCCTCAGCCTCCCGAGTAGGTGGAACTACAGGCGCCCACCACCACGACGGCCAATTTTTGTATTTTTAGTAGAGACGGGATTTCGCGGTATTGGCCAGACTGATCTCAAACTCCTGACCTGAGGTGATCCACCTGCCTCAGCCTCTTAAAGTGCTGGGATTACAGGCATGAGCCACTGTGCCCCTCCAGTTGTAGTTATATAATCAGGAAATTAATTGATACTTTGACACACTTATAATCTAATCCTCAGAACCTATTCAAATTGGCCAGTTTTTATAGGAAAAATGCTATCCAGAATCACAAGTTGCATTCGGTTGTCATCTCTTTATTTTCCTTTGATCTGAAACAGTTTCTTAGCTTTCTCCTTGATTTTCATGACCTAAATGTGTTTGAAGATTACAAGTCAAATATTTTGTGTTCCCAGTTTGAGTTTATTTGATATTTCTTTGTGATCAGATTGAGATCATGCATCTTTAGAAGGAATATCACTAAAGTGATTCTGTGTTCTTCATGTTTCGTCTCGTCAGATGGCATACAAGTTTGGTTTATCTCACTACCGGGAATGTTCCCCTTGATATTCTGATTAATGTGGCATCTTCCAGGTTTGTCCATTATAAAGTTTTCCCTTGGTAATTGTTATGGGTTAAATTATGCATCCCAAAAAGATGTGTTGAAGCCCTAACCTCCAGTACATGTGCATGTGACCTTATTTGGAGATATGGTCTTTGCTGATATAATCAAGTTAAAATGAGTTCACTGGGGTGGGCCTTAATCATCCAATATAACTGGTGTCCATATAAGAAGAGGGAAACTGGCTGGGTACACTGGCTCACACCTGTAATCCCAGCACTTTGGGAGGCCGAGGCAGACAGATCCCTTGAGGTCAGGAGTTCAAGATGAACCTGGCCAATATGGTAAAACCCTGTCTATACTAAAAATAGTAAAAATTAGCCAGGCATGGTGGTGGGCACCTGTAATCCCAGCTACTTGGGAGTCTGAGGCAGGAGAATCGCCTGAACCCAGGAGGCAGAGGTTGCAGTAAGCCCAGACCACACCATTGCACTCCAACCTGGGCAAGACAGCAAGACTCTGTCTCCAAAAAAAAAAAAAAGAGAGAGAAACTGGAAAACTGGAGAGAAGCACAGGGAGAACATCATGTGACAACATAGGCAGATATTGGAGCGATGCAGCTACAAGCCAAGAACATCAAGGATTGATGGGCACCACCAGAAACCAGGAAATGGCAGGGAAGAATTCTGCCCAGTGTCAGAGAGAGAGCGCAGCCTGCAGACATCTTAATTTTGAACCACTAGCCTTCAGAGACAATAAATTTCTATTGTTTTAAGCCACTCATTTTGTAGTACTTAATTAACCACTGCCCTAAGAAACTAATATACCAATTAATGAGTGTTTGTGAGGAAGTATTTTGAAACTATGTAAATATCTTGTTCCTTACCAGACTTTCGATGTATTCATTTATTTATATGAATGGACTTGAATCCTATTTACTCACTGTTTTAATTCATTACTACTAATATTTACGTTGATGCTCAGATTGACAAAGATTTGGTCAATGTGAGCTCCTTTCTGTGTTCTTTTGACATATCCCTTTTTTGTAAGACGAACTTTCGCTCTTGTTCCTCAGGCTAGAGTGCAGTGGCACAGTCTAGGCTCACTGCAACCTCTGCCTCCCAGGTTTAAGCAATTCTCCTACCTCAGCCTCCCAAGTAGCTGGGATTACAGGCATTCGCCACCATGCCTGGCTAATTTTGTATTTTTAGCAGTGATGGGGTTTCACCATGTTGGCCAGGCTGGTCTTAAACTCCTGACCTCAGGTGATCCACCTGCCTCTACCTCCCAAAGTGCTGAGATTACAGGCATGAGCCACTGTCCCCGCTTTTTTACACTTCTAATTGCTTTTCTAACAGTGTAAAGCCTCGCTCCCTGTCTTCAATATATTTACTTTTTTTTTTTTTTCTTCGAGATGGAGCCTCGTGCTGTCACCCTGGCTGGAGTGCGGTGGCACAATCTTGGCTCACTGCAACCTCCGCCTCCCAGGTTCAAGTGATTCTCCTGCCTCAGCCTCCTGAGTAGCTGGGACTACAGGCGCATGCCACCATGCCCAGCTAATTTTTGTATTTTTAGTAGAGTCGAGGTTTCACCATATTGGTCAGGCTGGTCTTGAACTCCTGACCTCATGATCTGCCTGCCTTGGCCTCCAAAGTGCTGGGATTACAGGCGTGAGCCACCGCACCTGGCCTCAATATTTTTACTTAATCAGTTGTGGCCAGTCTCCCAGCACTTCCATCTCTCTCTAGCCACCTTTATGGATTTTCTTTTTATCCTGCTTATACTCCAACATCCTTTGCAATTCCTCCCTCCCACGCAGACATTTTTCTCATTTTTGGGTCCATTCTCTCTAAGCCACTGAGTTTTTTCCCTCAGCTCCAGCTAATGGGTTTAGGACTGAATTGTTCACAAAGGAAGGGAAAGACATTTTTCACTATTTTCATGAGCATATTAATCATAGCTGTTTGAGTTTTGTCATATAGTTGCAATATTGGCTTCACCTGTTATGGGTATGTTCATGGTGTTTGGTGTTTTTATTTTGTTTTGTTTAGTGCCCAGAGATAGTTGCTAATGTAGTGTCTGCATTTTCTTTTTAGCTATTTAGACCTATCTCTTAGCATGTCTGCTAATTTTTTATTGAATGCTGAACATTAAAAGATTATGGAGTCTCTGGATGATTTTTCTCCCTCCAGAGACAGTTCACCCTTCTTTTCCTAGGCAGATGTTGGGGCTGATCATATTAATTAAATCTGAAACCTAACTGACTTGAGGCTGAATTGCCGTTGGAGCAAGCCCTGCTTCTGGAATGTGGATTTTTCCCACAGAGAGCCTGGAATGACCACTAAGCCCCCTTCTCCATGGCATGATTTAAACTCTCTAGTCCTTGTTTCCTCATCACCATGAGACCACTGCTTTTTCGAAGGTTTTCTGCTTGGCTTCTTCCCTCTCAAGCAGCTCAGAATTCAGCAAATACCTTGAAGGAAAAATTGTTGAGCCAGTTCTCTCTTTCATTGTTCATCAGAATCTTGGCCTTTCAGGTCTCTAATTTTTGCGTGTTAAGATCAGCAAGACTGTTAAAAACTCTGCTTTTTTCTCTTTGTTTAATAGTGGCCCTCTCTTGTCCTTTTTGCCTTAATTCTCAGCTTCTTGCCTAGCTCCCCAGAATCAGCAGAACCCTAAGAGAAAATAATGTCAGCATAGGTCTCCATGCTTTCCCTCTGATAGTATTTGCCACTTAGTTTTTGGTAGCCTTAGCACTCTCCAGTACATTCAAACAAGTGTGTCTGTGTATCTGGCTTTTCTACTTGTTCTTCATGAGAGCATTAGTCTACTATAAGCTACTCAGTTATATCAAAACCAAAAAGCTAGATTCTAATGTGTTCGTATCTTTTTAAAAATAATGCTTCTTGGCTGGGCACAGTGGCTCACAGATGTAATCCCAGCACTTTGGGAGGCTGGGGCAGGCAGATCACCTGAGGTTAGGAGTTCGAGATCAACCTAGCCAACATGGTGAAATCTTGTCTCTACAAAAAATACAAAAATTAGCCAGGAGTCGTGGTGTGTGCCTGTAGTCCCAGCTACTTGGGAGGACTGAGGTAGGAGGATCACTTGAACCCGGGAGGCGGAGGTTGCAGTGAGCTATGATCGTGCCACTACACTCCAGCCTGTGTGATAGAGCGAGACCTTGTCTGAAGTAAAATAAAATAAAATAAAGGTTCTTGAATTTATAAAACAAAATGATAACAATCTAATGGTCATCGACTCTCAAAAAATGAAAAATTCAAAAGATAACTTTAAAACATTAGCAATTAAGACCATCAGGACATCTATAGGAATTAAGTCAAGTGGTCAGTATTAACATCAACAGTGGAAAGTCATATTGATTGTATGTGCCCTTGATATGGTGTGATCACAGTAGCAATTTACCTCTGTGGCCTTCCGCCGAAAAACTTATTACCCCAGTCTAGCCATGAGAAAAGTATCAGTCAAATCTCATTTGACAATCTACAAAATACCTGACCAGTACTGTTGAAAACTGTCAAGATCATCAAAACCAATGAAAGTCCAGGCCGGGCACGGTGGCTCATGCCTGTAATCCCAGCACTTTGGGAAGCCGAGGCAGGCAGATCACGAGGTCAGCAGTTCAATACCAGCCTGGCCAACATGGTGAAACCCCGTCTCTACTAAAAATACAAAAATTAGCCAGGCGTGGGGGCGCGCGCCTGTAATCCCAGCTACTCAGGAGGCTGAGGCAGGGGAATCGCTTGAACCCGGGAGGCAGAGGTTGCAGTGAGTCAGGACCGCGCCACTGCGCTCCAGCCTGGGTGACAGAGCGAGACTCTATCTCAAAAAAAAAAAAGAAAATCCAGCAGAGTGTCACAAACAAGAGGAGTCTAAGGAGAAAGGAGACATGACTACTAAATGTTCTGTGGTATCTTAGATGGGATCCTAGGTTAGAAAAGGACATTAGGTAAAAAAAAAAAAACCTGAGGAAATCTAAAGTATGGACTTCTCATAATTATCAATATTGGTTCATTAATGTGACAAATGTATCATACTAATATTAGATGTTAATAATAGGGAAAATTGGATATAGGGTATATGGGAACTATCTTTGCAATGATTTTCTAACACCTAAAACTTCTTTTACAATAAACTGTACTTTTGTTTTGAGATAGGGTCTCACTTTGTCACCCAAGCTGGAGTGCAGTGGTGTGATCACTGCTCACTGCAGCCCTGACCTCCTGGGCTCAAGCAGTCCTCCCACCTCAGCCGCCTGAGTAGCTGACACTACAGGCAGCTGGGACTACAGGCGCATGCTACCATGCACAGCTAATTTTTTTTATTTTTTTGTAGAGACAGGATCTCACTATGTTGCCCAGGCTGGTCTTGAAATCCTGGCTTCAAGTGATCCTCCTTGCCTCAGCCTCCCAAAGTGCTGAGATTACAGACATGAACCACCAGACCCAGCCCCTGTTTTTTAAAACAATAGCCTTTGACCTCCCAGGCTTTGTTTTATTTTTGGATTTTATTATTATTATTATTATTATTATTTTGTCTGTCTCATTTCTTGCTGTATCTCCAGTACCTAGAAGATACATTTAGGTTTTCAATAAATATTGGTTGGTTGGATAGATAAACAGGAGCAAGGGAATAGAAAATACAGATAACTGCTAGGTTTCTAACTCAGGCAACTGTGCGGATGGTAATATTCACTTAGGGAGTATGAAAAGCAGAAACTAGAAACTCCTGCATGCTTGACAGATGATATATTATCTTGTTTTGTGCCAGCAATGTACGTGGTTAATAATAATCAGAAAATCTAATCAGAGTCAAAATGGGTGGCCAGAGATGGTGGTGTATGCCTGCAATCCTAGCATTTTGGGAGGCTGAGGTGGGAGGATCACTTGAGCCCTGGAGTTCAAGACTAGCCTGGATAACATAGCAGGACCTCATCTCTCATTTAAGAAAATAAAATTTTATTTTAAAAAAAAAAGGAGGGGGCGGCCGAGCACGGTGGCTTAAGCCTATAATCCCAGCACTTTGGGAGGCTGAGGCGTGTGGATCACTTGAGGCCAGGAGTTTGAGACCAGCCTGGCCAACATGGTGAAACCCCATCTCTACTAAAAATACAAAAATTAGCCAGGCATGGTGATATGTTCCTGTGGATCCAGCTACTTGGAAGGATTACTTCAGCCCAGGGGGCGGAGGTTGCAGTGAACCGAGATCATGCCACTACACTCTAGCCTGGGTGACAAAGTGAGACTAACTTTTTGGTCTTTTTCCAAGGAGTAAACTCCTTTTTTCTCTTTTAGGCATATAAAACCTTTGCTAACCGAGTAAACAATTTAAAGAAGAAGTTGGATCAATTGAAGTCAACCCTTCCAGATCCTGAAGAATCACCGGTTCCTTCCCCAAGCATGGATGCTCCCTCCCCGACTGGTTCTGAGTCTCCTTTTCAGGGAATGGGAGGTGAGGAATCCCGGTCACCAACCATGGAGAGTGAGAAATCTGCCACACCTGAACCCGTGACAGATAATCGTGATGTGGAAGACATGGAACTCTCAGATGTGGAAGATGATGGGTCAAAAATCATTGGTATGTCCTTATGTGATTAATAGACAACTTATTCCTTATCTGTTTTGCCTTCCCAGCAATGAATACGTCACAGGCAGGTATTAAAAGATACTTCATTTCTTAAAAGATAGACCACCAAGGTAGCATTATAATCTCTAGAGCAGTTGTTGAGGATTTGATATGCCAAATGTGTTAAGAATCATTGCTCGTTATCTGCATTGTTAAAATGGTAGCTACTAGGCCATGGGCGGTGGCTCATGCCTGTAATCCCAGCACTTTGGGAGGCCAAGGCAGGCGGATCACCTGAGGTCAGGAGTTCAAGACCACCCTAGCCAACATGGTGTAACCCTGTCTCTCCTAAAAATACAAAAATTATCCGGGTGTGGTGGCAGGTACCTGTAATTCCAGCTACAAGGGAAGCTGAGGCAAGAGAATCGCTTGAACCTGAGAGGCAGAGGTTGCAGTGAGCTGAAATCATGCCATTGCACTCCAGGCAGGTGACAGAGCGAGACTCCGTCTTGGGGAGATGGTGTGGGGAAAGTAGCTACTAGCTACCTGTGGCTAAGCATTTTAAATGAAGATTGTCCAACTTGAGATGTGCTGTAAATATAAAATACACATTGAGGCCGGGTATAATGGCTCATGCCTGTAATCTCAGCACTTTGTGAGAGTGAGGCGGGCAGATTGCTTGAGTCCAGGAGTTTGAGACCAGCCTGGGCAACATAGCGAAACCCCGTCTCTACAAAAAATATAAAAATTAGTCAAGCGTGGTGGCATGTGTCTGTAGTCCCAGCTGCTGGAAAGGTTGAGGCAGGAGAATCACTTGAGCCTGGGAGGCAGAGGTTGCAGTGAGCCAAGATCATGTCACTGCACTCAGCCTGGATGACAGAGAGAGACCCTGTCTCCAAAAAAAAAAACAAAAAAAAAACACCAGACACATTGGAGTCCAGAAACTAGGCCGAGCACAGTGGCAAAAACTTAATACTCTCCCAAAGAGTTAAAATATCTTTCTTTTTTTTTTTTTGAGACGGAGTTTCGCTCTTGTTGCCCAGGCTGGAGTGCAGTGGTGCAATCTCCGGCTCACTGCAACCTCCGCCTCCTGGGTTCAAGCAATTCTCCTGCCTCAGCCTCCCGAGCACCTGAGATTACAGGCATGTGCCACCACACCGGGCTAATTTTGTATTTTTAGTAGAGACGGGGTTTCTCCATGTTGGTCAGGGTGGTCTTGAACTCCCAACCTCAGGTGATCTGCCTGCCTCAGCCTCCCAAAGTGCTGGGATTACAAGCGTGAGCCATCGTGCCTGGCTTAAAATATCTCATTAATAATTTTTATATTTATAACACTGAAATGAAAATATTTGGGATATATTAGGATGGATAAAATAGATTTTTTAATTACATGTTTCTTTTTATTTGTTTGTTTTTAAAAGAGAGTCTGCCTCTGTTACCCAGGCTGGAGTGCAGTTGCACAATCTCAGTTCACTGCAACCTCCATCTCCCGGGTTCAAACGATTCTCCTGCCACAGCCTCCCGAGTAGCTAGGACTGATTTTAGGTGCATACCACCACACCTGGCTATTTTTTGTATGTTTAGTAGAGACGGATTTTCTCCATGTTGGGCAGGCTGGTCTCAAACTCCTGACCTCAAGTGATCCGCCCGCCTCAGCTTCTCAAAGTGCTGGGAGGTGGACTTGAGCCACCATGCCTGGCCCTGGTTCTTTTTTTTAAAATTTGGGTGTGGAAAATTTAAACTTACATATGTGGCATATGTGACTTAAATTGTATTCATGTTAAATAGCACTGTTTTGGGATGAGGGGTTGCTTATACTGGAATTCCTTATTCTCTGTCACTTTTGACCATCAAGAATTCCAAAGTCAGTTTGTTAATCACACTTTCAGAAACAACCTGAATTGGTGAATTGTTTCTCTTATATCCCCAGCCTTTATAAATCTTACTAGATAATTTGACTCCTGTTGAATTTAATGCATTATTGATATAGCCTTTAAAACATTAAAAAGAATTATTCAAGGTGATCAAGAGTTAAAACGTTGTAGTTTCAAATTAGTTAGTGCCTGATTGCACCCCCCAATAGGGCAATTTCAGGAAGCCAGAGGAAAAGACAGTGAACACTATAGAGGTTCTGTTTCTAAGAACAGAAGTTCTTGGAAGGTTCTCAGGTTAATGGAAAAGAAAAAAACAGGACAATTTATGACAAATGTCATTTCCAAAAGACAGAACACAAATATGTACCAAATAATAACATGCTTCTTCAGTTGTACAAATTTAATACACAAATACTAAGAAAATGCAAAGGAATCATTGAAAAGTAAGATACAAGATAAATCCTGGAAATTGCTTTTTTTGTTGTTTTTTGTTTTCTTTTTTGAGACGGGAGTCTCACTTTGTTGCCCAGGCTGGAGTGCAGTGGTGCAATCTCGGCTCGTTGCAACCTCTGCCTCCTGGGTTCAAGCGATTCTTGTGTTGCAGCCTCTGTAGTAGCTGGGATTATAGATGCCTGCCACCACAACCAGCTAATTTTTTTGTATTTTCTATGGAGGCAGGGTTTCACCATGTTGACCAGGCTGGTCTCGAAATCCTGACCTCGTGTGAGCCATTGTCCCCAGCTGGAAATTGCTTTTAAGTAGATATTAAAGGTGGGAATTATCATAAATTACAAAGAGTATGACTTCTTACTCCAGAAAAGCATGAAGTGAGTCGGTTGTTTTCTTAAAGTAAGTGCCTTGCCGGCGCGCGTGGCTCAAGGCCTGTAATCCCAGCTTTGGGAGCACCGAGACGGGCGGATCCGAGGTCAGCGCCAGGTTCGAGACTATCCGTGCATAACACGCGTCGAAACCCATTCTACCACTAAAAAATACAGAAAAACTAGCCGGCCCGCGAAGTGGCGGTCGCGCGCTGTGGTCCAGCTACTCGGGAGGTCTGAGGCAGCGACGAATGCGCGTAAAACCCGGCGGTTGCAGTGAGCCTGAGATCCGCCCACTGCACTCCAGCCTGGGGACAGAGCCAGACTCCTCTCAAAAAAAAAAATTGTAAAAAAATAAATAAATAAATAAAGTAGTGGCCTTTTATCCCCCCAATCCGGAAATATTGTAGGACATCGTTATTTCATATAGGAGCAAAGTCTGGAACGTAACTACAATCAACATATTTCTCTTCCTACCACACAACACACAAACAGAAAACAGAACAAACCTCGCAGAGAAGCTCAGCTCTCGTCATCCACTTCTGTCCTCACAACGCAACAGAACCATAACTCTCAAAGCCCTCTTCATGCGCCTACCCCCCACGTGCCTGTGACCGTCGCAGCAACGTCACCCTCCTTCCCAACACACCAGCCTGTCGACTACTTCCTCTTTCCTTCCGCGCAGCCTCCGCCCTTTGCCAAAACCCTGGCATAACTGTCACTCTCGGCAAAGATCGTTCCATCCTTACCCAGTTTCGCTCAGTCACTCCGAAGAAATACTGGCGAACGTAAGCCCACCAGTACAACCCGAGGCATACCACACAATTAGTTCTTCCCATCTTCTTGACACATTGCACTCATCAGATCCTGCGTTTTGGGGAGCGCGCGCGTGGTCTGTTCGTTGTTGCTGTTCGCTTGTTTCGTTAGCACAGAGTCCTCGCTCTGCTCCAGCGCCGGAGGACAGTGGTGTCAATTCTCTGGCTCAGCCTGCAACCTCCTGCCCTCACCTGTGGTTTCACGTCAATGTCTCCTGCTTCCAGCCATCCCCAGCCGTTAGGCTCCTACGGATTATAGGCCCTCTGCACCACAACCGGCCTAAGGTTCTTTCTGTATTTTCCAATACGAGATCAGGGTTTCCCTAAGTGCTGGCCAGCGTTTTCCTGCTGCTCGCACGTCCCTGACTCAGCTGATACCACCCCCACCCCTCCGGCCTCCCCCCAATAGCTTCTGCTTGCGATTCCAGGCGACTCGACGTCCACCGTGCGCCCCCAGCATCTGCTCCCATCTTATTTTTTCTTTCTTACGATCTTATACCTCTACATCTTTCTTTTTAATTTTTCTTTCTTCTTTTCTTGAGATCATAGCAGTTCAGGTCGTGTTACCCAGGCTGGAGTGCAGTGGTGCAAACTCGGCTCACTGCAGCCTCCATCTCCCAGGTTCAAGCAGTTCTGCCTCAGCCTCCCAAATAGCTAGGACAACAGGCATGTGCCACCATGCCCGGCTAATTTTGTATTTTTGGTAGAAATGGGATTTCACCATGTTAGCTAGACTGGTCTCGAACTCCTGACCTCAGGTGATCCACCCATCTTGGCCTCTCAAAGTGCTGGGATTAGAGGCGTGAGCTAGCGCACCCAGCTAAATTAGTTGTTAAATTAAAAAATAAAACAATCCAATAATGGGTCATTATAGAAAAATTAGAAAATAAGCAAAGAGAATTAAGTAAATATCTAGGCCAGGTGTGGTGGCTCATGCCTGTAATCCCAGCACTTTGGGACGCTGAGATGGTAGATTATCTAAGGCCAGGAGCTCGAGACCAGCCTTGGCAATATAGTGAGACCCTATCTCTAAATAAAAAAATGAAAAATGAAAAAAAAATTTAATAAGTATCTATAATCCCGTTACCCCAAAGGAACCACTTGTGTTTACCCTTAAGAGTATATGTGTATATGAATATTTTGGAGAATTAAATATTTGTAACAATTTTTTAAAAAGTAATTTAAGTATGTTGCATATACTGTTTCAAAACTAGCTATTTAAAAGTTAATTACATATCTTGACTGTTTTTATGAATCATTAAATATTTATCTACATCATTTTTAATAGCTGCATAGCATTTGGTAACTTATCTAATCCTTTATTATTAGGCACTTAGTATGTTTCCAGTTTTTTACTGTTATGAAGAATACTGTAGGGCCAGGTGTGGTGGCTCATGCCTGCAATCCCACCACTTTGGGAGGTGGAGGCGGGTGGATCACTTGAGGCCAGGAGTTCAAGACCAACCTGGACAACATGGCGAAACCCCATCTCTACTGAAAAAACAAAAATTAGACCAGGCGTGGTGGTTCACGCCTGTAATCCCAGCACTTTGGGAGGCCAAGGCAGGCGGATCACCTGAAGTCACGAGTTCGAGACCAGCCTGGCCAACTTGGTGAAACCCTGTCTACTAAAAATACAAAATTTAGCCAGGCATGGTGGCTTGTGCTTGTAGTCCCAGCTACCTGGGAGGCTGAGCCTGGACAATCGCTTGAACCTGGGAGGTGGAGGTTGCAGTGAGCCAAGATCACACCACTGCACTTCAGCCTGGGCGACTGAGCAAGACTGCGTCTCAAAAAAAAGAAAAAATTAGCCAGCTGTGGTGGCACGTACCTGTAATCCCAGCTACTCAGAAGGCTGAGGCATGAGTATCATTTGAACCCAGAAGGCAGAGGTTGCAGTGAGCCAGGATCGAGCCACTGCACTCCAGCCTGGGCGACAGAGCAAGACTCTGTCTCAAAAAAAAAAAGAATACTGTAAATGATAAAATTTGTATGAATAACCCTTTGAAAGAGCTAAGTATATAAAACTTCTTAATGTAATTTTATTAATTATTTTTATTTATTTATTTTTTTTTTTTTAATTTTTTGAGAAAGAGTCTCGCTCTGTGCCCCAGACTGCTGGAGTTCAGTGGCATGATCTCAGCTCACTGCAAGCTCCGCCTCCCGGGTGCACGCCCTTCTCCTGCCTCAGCCTCCAGAGTAGCTGGGACTACAGGTGCCCACCACCACGCCCAGCTAATTTTTTGTATTTTTAGTAGAGACGAGGTTTCACTGTGTTAGCCAGGATGGTCTTGATTTCCTGACCTCATGATCCACCTGCCTCAGCCTCCCACAGTGCTGGGATTACAGGCGTGAGCCACCATGCCCGGCCGTTTATTTATTTATTTTGTTTCACTCCATCACCCAGGCTGGAGTGCAGTGGTGCAATCATGGCTCACTGTAACCTCAAACTTACGGGTTCAAGTGATCCTCTCACCTGAGCCTTTGAGTAGCTGAGACCACAGGTGTACGCCACCACATCTGGCTAAGTTTTGTGGGTTTTTTTTTGTTTTTTTTTTTTTTTTTTTGAGACGGAGTCTCGCGCTGTGTCACCCAGACTGGAGTGCAGTGGCGCGATCTCGGCTCACTGCAAGCTCCGCCTCCCAGGTGCACGCCATTCTCCTGCCTCAGCCTCCAGAGTAGCTGGGACTACAGGTGCCCACCACCACGCCCAGCTAATTTTTTGTATTTTTAGTAGAGACGAGGTTTCACTGTGTTAGCCAGGATGGTCTTGATTTCCTGACCTCGTGATCCACCTGCCTCAGCCTCCCAAAGTGCTGGGATTACAGGCTTCAGCCACCGCGCCCGGCCTGTTTTGTGGGTTTTTTGATAGAGACAGCATCTTACTACGTTATCCAGGCTGATCTTGAACTCTTGGGCTCAAGCGTTCCTCCCATCTTGGCCTCCTAAAATGTTGGGATTACAATCTTGAGCCACTGCACCCAGCCTGAAATTTTTTAAATAAATTTTGCCAGGCATGGTGGGATACCGTGTAGTCCCAGCTACTCGGAAGGCAAAGGCAGGAGGATCATTTGAAGCCAGGAATTCCAGGCTGTGTAAGTCACTGTAACCACGCCTGTGAATAGCCACTGCACTCCAGCCTGAGCAACACAGTGAAACCATGTCTCAAAAACTAAATAAAAATAAATAAAGTCTTTTAATATATTATGACTAAATTGATATCCAAAAAAGTGCTATTTTATATGACTAATATATGAAAGTTTCTGTAATTCCTTACCTTCTCCAGTTACTTGCCTTGTGGAGTCTACAAATCCAACCTTAAAAAGTTGTTTAATTTCCATTTCTTCTATGAAAGATGTTAAAAATTTTTTTCCTTTGCTTATCACTTATGTTTCTTTGTGAAATATCTGTTCATATTTTTTATCTTTTTTTAAATATCAAATGTTTTTCTCTTTATATATTTTAGTTCCAGTTAAAGATCAACCCAGTGTTTTAAAATGTAAAAATATAAAGGAAATTTCTTAAATAATCTCATTTTAAAAGCTGTTTCAAAAGCACATAACTACCGGGCGCAGTGACTCACGCCTGTAATCCCAGCACTTTGGGAGGCCGAGGTGGGCGGATCACGAGGTCAGGAGATCGAGACCATCCTGGCTAACACAGTGAAACCCCGTCTCTACTAAAAATACAAAAAACTAGCCGGGCGTGGTGGCGGGCGCCTGTAGTCCCAACTGCTCGGGAGGCTGAGGCAGGAGAATGGCGTGAACCCAGGAGGTGGAGCTTGCAGTGAGCCAAGATTACGCCACTGCACTCCAGTCTGGGTGACAGAGCCAGACTCTGTCCCCCCCGCAAAAAAAAAAAAAAAAAAAAAAGCACATAATTTACCAGTCACATAAAATTATGCAGTGACTGAGTTATACAACTGTAGTGGCTCTCAGCGTCCAGTCAGCCAGCAGTATTTATTGAGCACCTACAGTGCTCTAAGCTGTAGGTGCCATTTGGTGGAGAAAAAAGAAATATTGTCCAGGTGTGGCGGCACATGCCTGTAATTGCCAGCACTTTGGAAAGCCAAGGTGGGAGGATCACTTGAGGTCAAGAGTTCAAGACCACGCTGGGCAACATAGCAAGACCCTGTTTCTATTTTTTAAAAATAAGTAAGAAATATTGGGGCTCTCAAAACTATGCAAGTCACTTAATACTTGTTTTTTTGAGACGGAGTCTCACTCTGTCTCAACTCTTGTCTCACCACAACCTCCACCTCCTGGGTTCACCTCCTGCCTCAGCCTTCCGAGTAGCTGGGATTATAGGCGCCTGCCACCACACCGGCTAATTTTTTATTTTTAGTAGAGATGAGGTTTCCCCATGTTGGTCAGGCTGGTCTCGAACTCCTGACCTCAGGTGATCCGACTGCCTTGGCTTCCCAAAGTGCTGAGATTACAAGTGTGAGCCACCTCGCCCGGCCGATACTTGTTTGTTTTAATGGTGTTCCAAGTAAAAGGAGATAATCTTAATCTTTTCAGATTTTTTTTTTTTTTTTTTGTACATGTCATGTTATGATGTACCATTTGTGGATCAACCACAGAAGAATTCCTGTTAATTATATCAAACTCATTGAAGTGAGTGGAAAGTATCGGGAATTGAAGTCATTTTGAATTGCATTTTCTTGAGTTCATCTTTCTGCCACCAGGGGTCAGTCCTGCATCAAGACCTTCTCCAGGAACTCCCACCAGCCCCAGCAATCTCACCAGTGGCCTGAAAACACCTGCACCTGCCACGACAACATCTCACAACTCTCTGGCAAATATCCTCTCCAAGGTGGAGATCACCCCAGAGAGCATTCTGTCTGCACTTTCCAAAACCCAGACACAGTCAGCCCCTGCACTGCAAGGTAACTGACATGTGCCAGAGGGACTCTAATTGTGAATGTTTGTCTCTGGCTTAAATTAATCCTGGATTCCATTTCTGAGGAATCCAGAGCCATAAAATGTATAACACAGTTAATTCATTATTATTTTTATTTATTTATTTTTTTAATTATTTTTTATTTTTGAGATGGAGTCTCACTCTGTTACCCAGCTGGTGTGCAGTGGAGCGATCTCTGCTCACTGCAACCTTCACCTCCTGGTTCAAGTGATTCTCCTGCCTCAGCGTCCCTAGCAGCTGGGATTACAGGCCTGCACCACCATGCCTGGCTAATTTTTATATTTTTAGTAGAGATGGGGTTTCTCCATGTTGGCCAGGCTGGTCTCCAACTCCTGACCTCAAGTGATCTACCCACCCCAGCATCCCAAAGTGCTGGGATTATAGGCGTGAGCCACCATGCCTGGTGGTCATTCTTCTTTTTTTTGTTTTGTTTTTTGTTTTTTGTTTTTTGTTTTTGAGACGAAATTTCACTCTTGTCGCCTATGCTGGAAAGCAATGGCCCACTCTCGGCTCACTGCAACCTCAGCCTCCCAAGTAGCTAGGATTACAGGCACCCGCCACCACATCTAGCTAATTTTTGTATTTTTAGTAGAGACGGGCTTTCACTATGTTGGGCCAGGCTGGCCTCGAACTCCTGACCTCAGGCAGTCTGCCCACCTCAGCCTCCCAAAGTGCTAGGATTACAGGCGTGAGCCACTGCGCCCATCCTATTATTTTTATATTTATCATCTATGAGCTAACATCTGAAGAATTATAAAATGTCAAAGCTGAAAGAGACTAAGTATTATCTAGTCTAATCCCTTACTTTTCAGGTAAAGAAACTAGGCTCAGTAAGGTGGTAAGACCTGCTTATGGTCACATACCTTTCTATTCAATATGAACCGAGACTGAAAGCCAGATTTCTTGACTGGAGTTCAGTATTATTTCACCTACACCATGACACCGTAGGGGCTGCATTAGTCCCAGCTTTTAATACAGGTTTATATATGTTGAGTTTTATTAATTTTAATGTTAACCAAAGCTAAAGACAATAGGAAAGGTCCATCTATTATCAAAAAATTTGGCCAGGCGCGGTCGCTCACACCCGTAATCACAACACTTTGGGAGGCTCCTCGCCTAAGTTCAGCAATTCAAGACCAGCCTGGCCAACATGGTGAAATGCCATCTCTACTGAAAATATGAAAATTAGCCGGGTGTGGTGACGCACACGTGTAGTGTGCTGAGATTACAGTGAGCCGGGATCACAACACTGCACTCCAGCATGGGCGACAGAGAAAGACTCAGTCTCCCAAAAAAAAAAAAATTTTTTTTATGACGCTTCGGGAACATAGTGAAACCCCGTCTCTACAACAGAATTAAACATTAGCGCCAGGCGCAGTGGCTCATGTCTGTAATCCCAGCACTTTGGGAGGCCGAGGTGGGCAGATGACGAGGTCAGGAGATCAAGACCATCCTGGCTAACACAGTGAAACCCTGACTCTACTAAAAATACAAAAAATTAGACGGGTGTGGTTGTGGGCACCTGTAGTCCCAGCTACTTGGGAGGCTGAGGCAGGAGAATAGTGTAAACCCGGGAGGCGGAGGTTGCAGTGAGCAGAGATCATGCCACTGCACTCCAGCCTGGGCGAAAGAACAACTCTGTCTCAAAAATAATAATAATAATAAGCTGGGCATAGTGGTGCATGCCTGTAGTTCCAGCTACTCAGGGGGCTAAGGCAGGAGGATCACTAGAGTCTTAGATGTAGTATTTTTGTTTTCAACTACCTATAATCTCTCTCATTTGACCCTTTCTGTTTAACTGTACTAATTATGTTTTGTGCATGACACTGCCTGTTTCTAAACTTTTTTCATAAATCTTTCCTACTCTCTACTCTCTTACACTCCAGATACCAACGAAACCCTTTTTAAGTACCATAGTATAATTACAAAATAAATTACAAATACCAGGACGGTATATTCAGTGTAGTGATTTACTCCGTATCAGTAGTCTCAACCAAAGGCCTCCAGGGAGGACACTTGGCAATATCTGGAGACCTTTTAGTTGTCTCAACTGGGGTAGTGGTAGGGCTACTACTTAGGAGGATGCCTTTAGGAGGATGCTCCTAAATATCCTACAATGTGTGAGACAGCCCCCAACAATAAAGAATTATCTAGCCCAAAGTGTCTAGTGCTGAGGTTGAGAAACCCTGCTCTCTATGAAAGGAATGGTGTAAAACAGTTTCCTAAACTGTTATGTAAGTGGATCATTCAAGCATATTATAGTGAGCTTTGTCTTGAGATACAGAAGAATTTTGTTACACAGAACTAAGTATTATTAATAATCCACAGCCCCTATCTATTGGCATCAGCAATAAATAATTGATGATGACTGCAGCACATGTTGTACTACTAATATCAGGGACAATTTGAGAGTTTGACATGTTCACATGCTTTCTCCCTTTTTATTTATTTATTTGTTTGTTTGTTTGTTTTTGAGACAGGGGCTTGCCCTCTTGCCCAGGCTGGAGTGCAGTGGTGTGATCTCGGCTCACTGCAACCTTCCGAAGTGCTGGGATTACAGGTGTGAACCACCGCGCCTGGCCTATGTGGATTTTCTGATGAGACAAAATTTGAACAGAACTCGGTTCCTTATGGAATGTGGAATTCTCTTTGACTTTTAAAAGGATTGTATCTAGCAACTTAAATAGATGTATTTCCTCAAAGACTGTTAACGAAATCCCAGAACTTTGTTCTGATTGTGTCATCCACAGCCCTAGATATTGATGGATTTACAACACAAAAGAGAGAGACTTCAGGCCCAGTGTGGTGGGTCATGCCTGTAATTCCAGCACTTTGGGGAGGGATGGATCACCTGAGGTCAGGAGTTCAAGACCAGCCTGGCCAACTGGGTAAACCTGTCTTTCAAAAAAAAAACAAAATACAAAAAATTAGCTGGGCGTGGTGGCTTGCGCCTGTAACCCCAATTACTTGGGAGGCTGAGGCAGGAGAATCGCTTGAACCCAGAAGGCAGAGGTTGCAGCGAGCCGGCCTGGGCAACAAGAGCAAAACTCCATTTCAAAAAAAAAGAGAGACTTCAGTGGGCAAAGGAGCAGAGTATGACTTGTTATGATTAAAGAGAAAACTTTTGGCTGGGCACAGTGGCTCATGCCTGTAATCCTAACACTTTGGGAGGCCACGATGGGAGAATCACTTGAGGCCATGAGTTTGAGACCAGCCTGGTCAATATAGCAAAACCCCCATCTCTATAAGACTTTTTAAAAATAATTTAAAAAAAAAAGGATTGGAGAATTGGAGAAAAGTAATATTTAGTGGTGAGAGACAATTTTATCTATTAATAGAAATTTGAGTAGTATATCTATCTGAAAAAGATGTTCTTTTGAAGAAGTTATCCCAAAATATCTGAAAAATATGCTGAAATATCTTCTAAAAATCATATTACATTATCATATATCACATTCTAGTGTTTGAGGACTTCTGGGTTTTGTGAGAACAGTGATTACTAAGAATTAAATCAGGCTGGGCATGGTGGCTCATGCCTGTAATCTTAGCACTTTGGGAGGCTGAAGTGGGACAATCACTTGAGCCCAAGATTTTGAGACCAGCCTGGGCAACATAGTGAGACCTTATCTCTACCAATAATAAAAAAGTTAGCTAGGCGTAGTGACACACACCTGTGGTCCCAGCTACTTGGGAGGCTAAGACAGGAAAATCTTTTGAGCCCAAGAGGTTGAGGTTACAGTGAGCTATGATCGCACCACTCTACTCCAGCCTGGGTGACAGAGCAAGAGCCTGTCTCTTAAAAAAAGAAAAAAGAAAAAAAAAAGGACACTATTAGGAGGGATTAATTATGTGGCTAGGGAACTCTTTGGAATGAAACATGGATTTTTTTTTTTTCTTCAGGAGGACCATAACTAAACATTATTTCAGTTTTTTGGATATTGTTGAATATTAGATAACAATAAAGACCATACAACATTATTTAGAAATGACTTTAAAATGTTACAAGGATGGAGGGGACTTGAAATTCTTTAGACCTTAACTCTGTTAGAATATGGGTTAAAATAGAAATTTTGAGGAAACATTAATTGAAGTATCACATGAAGTATTTTCTTTAATCATATAATTACTAAGGAAAAATTTTAGTGTATTCAGTGACTAAAAGCTATAAATTTGGGTGAAATGTATATTAAAATTTTTAAAATTTATTTTTAAATACAGAGACTCATTTTGTCCCCCAGACTGGAGTGCAATGGCACAGTCATAGTTTACTGTAACCTTGAACTGGGCACAAGTGATCCTCCAGCCTCATCCTCCTGAGTAGCTAGGACTACAGGCATGTGCCATGATGCCCAGCTGATTTTTAAAATTTTTTTAGAGACAGATTCTCACTATGTTGCCCAGGCTGGTCTCAAACTCCTGGCCTCAAGCCGTCCTCCTGCCTCTGCCGCCCAGAATGCTAGGATTACAGGCATGAGCCACTATGCCCAGCCATTTGTGATAAGAAATTGGGTAAATTTTAAAAATATGATTAAGGCCGGGCGTGGTGACTCACGCCTGTGGTCCAGCACTTTGGGAGGCCGATGCAGGGGGATCACGAGGTCAGGAGATGAGAACGTCCCTGGTAACACATTGAAACCCATCTCCCACTTAAAAAAAAAATACAAAAAATTAGCCAGGCGTAGTGGCGGCGGCCTATGGTCCCAGCTACTCGGAGGCTGAGGCAGGAGAATGAACCTAGGAGGTGAAGCTTGCAGTGAGCCAAGATTGTGCCACTGCACTCCAGCCTGGGCGACAGAGCAAGACTCCATCTCAAAAAAAAAAAAAAAAAAAAAAGTGAATTTATAGAACCTTCTGTTATCTTTTTGTCAAATATTTTTCTAAAAAATTTTCTACAGGAGCAGTTTGCTTTATTGAACTTCAGTCTTTACCCCGAAGAATTCTTTCTCAGTGCTTCTGAGAAAGTTTTGACTGCCAGTGAACACAGTTGAATTTCATCATTGTCAATCTGGACTAAATAATCCTTGGATTTTCCATGCTATAAAATGGGGATTGTGTGTTTTCTTGTGAAAGGACCAGTGTCCCTGGTGGTCTGTCTTTGTAAGTCTTTGTGGTATATGTTTATTATAGATACATTTTACAACCAAAACGGATGGTTGAAAGCATTGTTTTCCAAAAAGTAACAACAGTCTACCAAGAGATGCTTCTTGAAAAAGATGTTTCCTGTTCAGATAAATTTCTGATATTTGCATTTCCCTGTCTCCCTCTTGAAAATAACAATGTATATTATTAGAGATAACTGTGGTTTGAAGGTTGGACAGGAAAGGTAGAACAGATCTGTTTGCATTTAGAGAAACATTTCCACAGATCAAACATTAAGAAATACTGGCTTAAAGAGTTGTTTGAAGAATAATTTTGCCTCCTTTCTTTTCCTGCTTTGCCTAACTTAAACTATGAATGATTCTGACATTAAAATTTCCCCTTCCTGTTGCCTTTTATTGTGCCATGTTGGGCTTATTTCTGGACTGTACTGGAAACATTTCAGTGATTTGCTCTTTATTGATAAATAGACCCAGTATTTTCTGTGACATTTAGCCATTGCTTGTTTGGTCTGGATTTCTTTTGGCCTTACACTTTGTCTATCTGGTTCTCACCAAAATGAATGAGAATATCTGATTAGCCTACATTGTTTGCATTGCATGGTAGGGAGTTATTCTTTTTAACCCCTCTAATCTTTGTTTCTACAGGCCTGTCATCTTTACTTCAGAGTGTTACTGGGAACCCAGTTCCAGCCAGTGAAGCTGCCTCACAGAGCACTTCAGCCTCCCCTGCCAACACCACAGTCTCTACCATAAAGGGAAGAAATCTGCCCTCCAATGCCCAACCTTTTATTTCCAAAAGCTTCAACTATTCTCCTAACTCATCAACTTCTGAAGTCTCTTCAACCTCAGCCAGCAAGGCCTCAATTGGGCAAAGCCCAGGGCTCCCAAGCACTACTTTTAAACTACCGTCCAACTCTTTGGGGTTTACAGCTACCCACAATACTAGCCCTGCTGCCCCACCTACTGAAGTTACCATGTGCCAATCTTCAGAGGTCTCCAAGCCAAAGCTGGAGTCAGAGTCCACCTCCCCAAGCCTGGAAATGAAGATCCACAACTTCTTAAAAGGTAATCCTGGTTTCAGTGGCTTAAACTTAAACATCCCAATCCTGAGCAGTTTGGGGTCCAGCGCCCCATCAGAGAGTCATCCCTCAGACTTCCAGCGTGGCCCTACTAGCACCTCAATCGACAACATTGATGGAACCCCTGTACGGGATGAACGGAGTGGGACACCCACCCAGGATGAGATGATGGACAAGCCCACATCCAGCAGTGTAGATACTATGTCCCTGCTTTCTAAGATCATTAGCCCTGGTTCCTCAACACCCAGCAGTACAAGATCACCACCCCCTGGGAGAGATGAAAGCTACCCCCGAGAGCTCTCCAATTCTGTATCTACATATCGACCCTTTGGTCTGGGCAGTGAATCTCCCTATAAGCAGCCTCCTGATGGAATGGAGAGACCATCTTCCCTGATGGACTCTTCACAGGAAAAGTTCTACCCAGATACTTCTTTCCAAGAAGATGAGGATTACAGAGATTTTGAGTATTCAGGGCCTCCACCCTCTGCCATGATGAACCTAGAGAAGAAACCAGCCAAATCTATCCTGAAATCAAGCAAGCTGTCTGATACCACCGAGTACCAGCCAATTCTGTCCAGTTATAGCCACAGAGCCCAAGAATTTGGGGTAAAGTCTGCCTTCCCTCCATCTGTAAGGGCCCTCCTGGACTCTAGTGAGAACTGTGACCGTCTCTCATCTTCCCCTGGTCTATTTGGTGCCTTCAGCGTAAGAGGGAATGAACCTGGGTCTGACCGGTCACCATCACCGAGTAAGAATGATTCATTTTTCACCCCTGACTCCAACCACAATAGCTTGTCTCAATCTACCACTGGGCATCTCAGTTTGCCACAGAAGCAGTACCCAGACTCTCCTCACCCAGTCCCACATCGTTCCCTTTTCTCTCCGCAGAACACCCTTGCCGCTCCCACGGGTCACCCACCCACATCAGGCGTGGAGAAAGTCCTGGCCTCCACCATTTCCACCACGTCGACGATTGAATTTAAGAATATGCTTAAAAACGCCTCACGTAAGCCCTCAGATGATAAGCATTTTGGCCAGGCCCCCAGCAAGGGCACTCCAGGTGATGGTGTCAGTCTCCCAAACCTCACCCAGCCCACCTTGACCACCACTGATCAGCAGCAACAAGAAGAGCACTACCGCATAGAAACGCGCGTCTCCTCCTCCTGCTTAGACTTGCCTGATAGCACAGAAGAAAAGGGGGCCCCTATAGAAACCTTGGGTTATCACAATGCATCCAATAGGAGGATGTCAGGGGAGCCAATCCAGACCGTAGAGTCCATCCGAGTTCCTGGGAAGGGAAATAGAGGACATGGGCGTGAGGCTTCAAGGGTGGGTTGGTTTGATCTGAGCACATCAGGTAGCTCTTTTGACAATGGCCCTTCAAGTGCCTCTGAGTTGGCATCCCTTGGGGGTGGGGGCAGCGGAGGCCTCACTGGCTTTAAAACAGCACCATACAAGGAACGGGCACCCCAATTTCAGGAGAGTGTCGGCAGCTTTCGTTCCAACAGTTTCAATTCAACATTTGAGCATCATCTTCCCCCATCCCCCTTGGAACATGGGACACCCTTCCAGAGAGAGCCAGTGGGGCCATCATCTGCCCCACCTGTCCCTCCTAAGGATCATGGTGGTATCTTCTCTCGAGATGCACCCACTCATCTACCCTCTGTGGATCTTTCGAACCCCTTCACAAAGGAGGCAGCCCTGGCCCATGCTGCCCCACCCCCTCCTCCCGGAGAGCACAGTGGAATTCCTTTCCCTACCCCACCTCCTCCTCCCCCTCCTGGGGAACATAGCAGCAGTGGTGGGAGTGGTGTCCCCTTTTCTACTCCACCCCCTCCTCCACCCCCTGTTGACCACTCTGGAGTTGTACCCTTCCCAACCCCACCACTGGCAGAGCACGGAGTGGCAGGGGCTGTGGCAGTATTTCCCAAGGACCACAGTTCCCTCCTTCAAGGGACCCTGGCTGAGCATTTTGGGGTACTCCCAGGACCCAGGGACCACGGGGGCCCCACCCAACGGGACCTCAACGGCCCTGGCCTTAGCCGTGTACGAGAGAGCCTGACCCTACCCTCCCATTCTCTGGAACACCTGGGCCCACCCCATGGAGGAGGAGGTGGGGGAGGCAGCAACAGCAGCGGTGGGCCCCCCTTGGGTCCCTCACACAGAGACACCATCAGCCGGAGTGGTATGATCTTACGGAGTCCCCGGCCAGACTTTCGGCCTAGGGAACCTTTTCTCAGCAGAGACCCGTTTCACAGTTTAAAGAGACCCAGGCCACCTTTTGCTAGGGGCCCTCCGTTCTTTGCACCAAAACGCCCATTCTTCCCTCCCAGGTACTGATGGAAACCAAGGGAAAGGCATTTTGAACAGTCTAGAGAACATTGGAAGTAGGAGTTTGGTTTATTGTTGTTGTTTTTATTTGTTTTCTCTTTCTCGATTTTTTTTTTATTATAACAAAGGGCCTCTCTTCCAAAGTAAGAAATCACATATGCTTACGTTTTACTATTCAATTCAATCCTCCCTCCCATTGCACTTATCTACCTTCCCCAAGTTGTTTGTATTAAAAAAGAAAAAAAAAAAAGTAAAGAAACACAACCAAAGCCACTTCATTTGGCTGGGGGGTTGGGGAGTGGGGAGGAAAACAATCTTTATTTTACCCCATCTATTGAAGAGTATTATTACATTTGAAATAAAACTTCCATCAGTACAGATAACCACATGTGCAATGTTGGGATGTTATTTTGGGCTTGGCTTATCGAGTAGTCAATGGAAGGATTCCTGTTCCCTCTCTTTGCAGCTTAGAATGTGCTGTAGCCAGCTCGGCTCCCTTCCCTGTGTATCTGTGTCCTGCTAACAGCCAAGAGATGTTGCAAGGGAGGAAATGTGGGAGATCTTGAACCTGTCAAGTTTATTTGTTTTGTTTCTAAAGGCATGATGAAGTTCAGTTCTTTACCCTTCTCCTAAAATCTTTTTTTAATCGGCCTCAAGGTTAAAATAAGGAGTGACTACAGTATATAAAATTAGGAAAGGAAGCATTAATGGTGTGACGTGACCTGCCTGGTTTTTGTAAACAAGATAATAGGAAATGTTTTCAAGGTAGTTTCACATGTCTTGCACCAAGCTCATGCCTCTTGCTTTTCTTTTTTGACTTTATCTCCCTCAGTTTTTCTTCTGCTGTGGCCAGAAAGACAGTCACTACAGTTGACTATTGATACAAAGGTGCAACAGAAATATTATCCTTGCATTTTTAAATATAAGAAGTAGACATTAATTTTACCACGGTGCTTCCCTAATGTAAGTGATTATTTATTGGTGGTTTTCAAAAAGGTTAACTATTAGAGAAATATTTGTCTTTATCTTCCTTTTCCCCTTGCTTCAGTTGTGTTATTCACCCCTATTCTTGATATTTTAAAGGAGAAGACTCAGTAGCATTTTCCTTTATATTATACACACGTGTCTATCCCATTTCAAGGCTCAAGTCTCACCCCCACCTCTCGCTCCCAATAGGAAATAAAGACCATTTCTGCCCTTAGTTGTTTTACATGCGAGATAAGTGCTTTCCTTCTCCCTGGACTGAAAGATTTGTTTGTATTTCTACATCTAGTACTTGGGAAATAGACAATCATCGTACTTTGAGTGTTTATATCTTTATATCTAGGGACACTGAAAAGTAAATGTTGCTTTACTCCAATTTTTTTTTTTATTTAGTATCTTACTCCAAGGCATACACACTGATCATCTCCAGTTAGATGAGTAAAACAGTATGTGTTTAGTTTTTCAGAGAATTCTAGCAAGTTTCATATTTTCTTCCAAGTTAGTATAGAACTAACGATAGGAAGTATGGGGTTGCTTTTTCCTCCAGTGGAATATTACAGATGGGGGAGGGTGGGCAATGTAGTGACAGAAAATGATTCTCAGAATGAACTTACTTTTCAGAGAAAGAGCAGCATAAACCAGATGCACATCATGATTTGGGAGTTTTTGTGTAATTTATTCTATTATTTATTTGGGCTCGCCATGTGTTCTGGGGTTAGGATGCTGCAGGTCATTCATCTTCCTAATGCCTGTCTGGTCTTAAAGCCAGCTGTTCTTTCTTTCCTCGACCCTCTCTGCCCTGTAGCTCTCCCCACAAAAATGCATGATACCACGATCTTATGTGTAGGATGGGGTATGTAGTGTAGCAAAGAAAAGAAAGTATAGTTATATTGAGTCCTAAGACATTTGTTAGGGAAAAGCATAAGAGAAAATGGGGTGGGGGTGGGGAAATTATATTTTACTTTCAAAATTGAAATAGGGTTTTTTTTTTTCTCAGAAATTAAATGGGATGTTTTTCATTCTAGAATAAAAGAATGTGAATTCTCTCTGCTGCTCTCGTTTAAGCTAAAAGTAGTGTTTACTTGAAAAGGCTCTCTCACCATTTAATTCTATCAGAAAATGTGGGGATGTCAGGCAAGTGGCTTCCTGAACGTTGGGGCAGGATAATTGTCCTCAAAAGTTCAATGATGGTTAATACATGAAAGGAAGACTGTTGTACAGTTTCAAAGATGAGCTTTTAAGGAGTTGGGTTTTTGTGGGGTACTTTTTTGTTTTTTAAGCCACAAAATCCTCAATATGTTTGTTTTAGGATGGAAGTGAGGATTTGTATGAGACTGTCAGCTATTAATTTTAAGGAAATCTTAAAATTTACATTTACATCAGTTAATGAAGATGACAATGTGTATATATGTGATATAGTGAAACAAAAAAGACAGTTCTGGTATTCATAACATGAAAGAAAGGGGTTTTATTCTTTCTGTGTCTGTGATTTAAAACTCTGTGACCATGCTCTGACTTTTGTATTTCAACCTGAGTTCAAACAAATAAACAAGATATTTTTTAAAGAAAGCATAACATAGTGTGTCTTGGCAAGGACATGATTCATATGGCAGCAGAATGTGAGAAGTTGTAAGGTCCTTGGTACTCACTGTAAAATCACAGACAGAGAATTGGTGGGGGTTGTGAATACACTAGTACCACTTAAAGTTCAGTGATACAGTATCAGAAATAGGGTCCTTAAGTATTTTGAAAGAGTTTACTCTTCAGTCAGCTTAGATGAGAGCTCTCTCCCTGCTCCCCTCTTCCCTCTCAAAAGTTGAGAGTAAACAGAATTTGGTTTGATTCCAGGGAGGGGAAAATGAGCAGAGAATAGGACTTTTATACTTTCCAATACCAGGAATAAAATGTTTGTGATATATATGGGGTACAGCAAACCTATCTAGATAATGTGAATACGATAAATTTCCTAATTGCAGGATATTCACTCTCAATCCTGAAGTTACTGGTTCCTGCCGAATTGAGCTTCAGCTGTTACTGTTTTGAAGCCGCTGTAAATTACTGCTTTCCCCAGATCCCCCACTATTTTTTTAAATGGGCGGGGGCGCCTGTTCAGATTTAAAATAGATATGTTGGATTGATATTCTCACGTGTTCAGTGTGAAAACAAAACAAGTACATGCTTTAGAAGCAACAACAATGAAATCCTTTTGAAATGTGTATTGATATCATTTAATAAAATAACTAGTTCGAAAGGTTTGACATTTTTCTTTGAGATGGGCTTGGACCAAGGGCCCCTGGCTTCCTGGTGAGTGCAAATAGGAGGGAACTTCTCAGGAGCTGAAACTGCTGCTTTGTGGAGTAGGCCTATGGTTGGAAAACCTAAGTTTTCTCCAGCAAAGACCCAACATGACTGTCCAGGGCCGAAGGTGAAACCAACTAGAGAATGCAGAAGGAAAAGCCTGGATATATCTCAGAAGATACGGTTGTATTGGCTTCTGGTCCAAGGGTATGTGGGTGGGAGTAGTGGTGTGTGTGCCCACACATTTCTCAGGCACATACGGAGATACCACAGACCACCCACTTCGTGACCACTTGCACTTTACTCTCTTCCAGACATTCCTTTTTTAAAAAAATCTTTGTCCCCAATATTTTGTTTTCCAGTTTAATAAAGTATGGCTTCCTTTGTTGTGTGGTTGACTTTTCCCCTGATGTTGATCTTTTCCAGATGTCCCCTTTGACTTCTGCACTTAACGTCACTGAAGGCAATCTGAGCCTCTAAGATCTTTATGGCCTTGTGGGTTTTCTGTTTGATCCTTTGTGTAATTGAATTTTGGAAAAGGACAATGGATGGGTTCTAGATGTTCAGGGAGTGGTTGGTGAAGTGGGATATACTGTATTAATAATTTTTTGTGCATGTCTTCAAAAGACTGCAACTGTGAGCCAAGAAGCATTTTTAAAGCAGCGTAGAATTGCGGATTTGGGGTGGTGGTGGGGATCCTTCTGGCCAATTCTTTGCCCACATCTGTCCTTCTTACTGCATATTGGCAATCTGTCGTGCAGAAGCCACACTTAACCCTTCTGTCTTACCCCATCCCTTGTTCATAACCCAATGAGGCTGGGTTGGAATGCTGGCTTTAAGGGGTAAAGAGGAATAGTCACTGCATCTTCTGGGCCAGGCCTGGGTCACTGGCAGGGTAGAAGGCTCTAAATAGCAGCTTTGCTTACGTGAAGGTACGTGCATGTATCACCAGACACTTAACTAGCAGTGGCCTGGGAACACACCCAGCATGTAGGGTGTACGACTGTACTGGAATCTGGCTCACCCTTTTTTCCTTGTCTCTTGGGACCTTGACTTGCCCACCTGATTACCCCTAAAGAAGCAACAGCTTTGAGACTTCCTCATTAGGTTTTCTGGGCACGTTATTCATAATTTCCTCTGCCTACTTTTTTTTTATGTAAGCCAATCTTGTATAGCAGGGATGAGTTATGTATGTAGACACAGCAATGCAAACACCATCAGAGTGGGTTTTGGAGTATTGGGGCGTTTCTCATACTTGTTTATGAGTAACTGTATGGACAAGTCCGGTCAGCTGCTGTTCACAATTGCTGAGTAATAATTCATTGAGACTGCATAGGCAAGGCTATGAGAGGGTCATCGGTAAGAGAGATATTGGCCCTTAAGTAAATATCCTATTCTATCTTCCCCGTGTGGAAGGAAATAGAAGCACTCTAAAGCAAAGAAGCAAGTGCAGTGTAAAACAGTATCAGTTACTTTTGACTAATTGCTGGGGAAAGAAAGGAGAAGCCTTTGCTTAGTTACAAGTTTGAGGGGAAAAAGATAAGAAGGCCAACATCTATGTAAAAGTTGATAATTGCAGTTACAGTCAACCCTCCTCGGTATCCATGAGGGATACTAGGTTCCAGGACCCCCATGGATACCAAAATCCACAGATAAAAGCTTAAGTCCCTTACATACAATGGCATAGTATTTGCATATAACCTACACACATCGTCCAGTAAATTTTAAATCATCTCTAGATTACTAATACCTAATACGATGTAAGTGCTATGTACATAGTTGTATACAGTATCGGTTTTGAAATTTGTGTTACTTTTTAATTATTTTTATTACCTTTTCCCCGAATACTTCTGTTCTGTGGTTGGTTGAATCCACAGATGCAGAATCCCCAGACAGAGCCAACCGTATATTTTCTTTTTTAAATTTTATGTTTTTCTATCCTTTGTTCACACCTAGGGAAGAATCAAAAATTGAGAATACAGATATGGGTGGAGAGGCTAGTGAGTTCTTCAATGCCAAGTGAGGAAACACAAATACAGGCCGGGCATGCTGGCTCACGCTTGTAATCACAGCACTTAGGGAGGCTGAGGCGGGCAGATCACTTGAGATAGGAGTTCGAGACCAACCTGGACAATATGACAAAGCCTTGTCTACTAAAAATACGAAAACTAGAGCTAGGCGTCGTGACTCACGCTTGTAATCCCAGCACTTTGGGAGGCCGAGGCGGGTGGATCACAAGGTCAGGACTTCGAGACCAGCCTGGCCAATATGGTGAAACCCCATCTCTACTAAAAATACAAAAATTAGCTGGGCGTGGTGGTGCGTGCCTGTAATCCCAGCTAGTCAGAAGACTGAGGCAGAAGAATTGCTTAAACGTGGGAGGCGGAGGTTGCAGTGAGCCATGATCGCACCACTGCATTCCAGCCTGGGTGACAGAGCAAGACTGTCTCCAGGGAGGGGGGCGGGAAATTAGCCGGGTGTGGTGGCATGCACCTGTGATCCCAGCTACTTGGGAGGCTGAGAAAGGAGAATCACTTGAACCCGGGAAGCAAAGGTTGCAGTGAGCCAAGATCGTGCCACTGCATTCCAGCCTGGGTGACAGAGCGAGACTCCGTCTCAAAAGGAAAACACAAATGCAGGTTGCAGGTTTTTATGTTTGACTTGGCTAAACCAGTCTACCCTGGACATGTTCAGGGTCATGGTAAATTGGATTGTTCCAGCAATGTTCCTTCCTCATCCCCATTGTGCCCCCTTATTTTTGAGAATTACTGAAATCCTTTGCCACATGATTTGTGGGAGATGAGAGAAAAGGACTTGAAACTTGCTACATTTTTCTTTGGGTGTTTCAGTTGGAATGGTAGAAAGGAGACGGACAGCATCCCTCTCCTCTGTTTCTCCCTCCTCCCTGGCTAACAGTCCTTTGCACCTATAAGAGACAACACTTAAAATAGTCATTGCCAAGGGCAAAAGTGATTAGGAAATGATTTGAAATCTTGATTACTTAGAAGTGGGCCTCAGTTGTATGCAGGTTGAGCATGCCAAATCCAAAGTCCAAAATCTGACACCAACATGACACTCAAAGGAAATGCTCATTGGAGGATTTCAGATTTTTACATTAGGGATGCTCAACCAGTAACTATAATGCAAATATTCCAAAATCTGAAAAGATTCAGACACTTCTGGTCTCAAATATTTCAAATAAGGATACTCAACCTGTATTTCCTTCTACAGATGTTATCTAGGACCTTCTTTTAGAGTACTTTGTCCTTCCCTTTGTTTTTTACTTTAGCATGGAACCTAAATGGACACATCCCTACCTAGACTGGCTCCTGTGTTTGGCAGATCTCCTCTTTTGCCCTGACAAATCAGTTGTGTAAGAGCTGGGGTGGGAGTGTCTGCTTGTTTTTCTACAGCCCTAAGAGATGTTCTGGGAAGGGAAATCTTAGTAGAGATTTTAGGTGAGCCCAAAGTTTTGTTTTCAAAGTCAAAGTTCAATTTATCCATGCTCTTGACAGAAAGCTTTCACCTCTTTGCTCATTGAGCAAATGTGGCTGAACATTCTCTCCCATTGTGGCTTTTTTTTAAATAGAGACAGGATCATGCTATGTTGCCCAGGTTGGTCTCAAACTCCTGGGCTCAAGCAGTCCTCCTGCCTCAGCCTCCCAAAATCCTGGGATTACAGACATGAGGCACCGTTCCTGGCCACATTGTGGCATTTTATTTTATTGATTTTATTTTCATTTATTTTATTTTACTTTATTTTTTGAGACAGAGTACCACCCTTTTTTGCCCAGGCTGGAGTGCAATGGCGAAATCTCGGCTCACTGCAACCTCTGCCTCCCAGGTTCAAACAATTCTTCTGCCTCAGTCTCCCAAGTAGCTGGGATTATAGGCATGTGCCACCACGCCTGGCTAATTTTTTTTTTTTGTATTTAGTAGAGACAGGGTTTCACCATGTTGGTCACGCTGGTCTCAAACTCCTGACCTCAGGTGATCCACCCACCTCGGCCTCCCAAACTACTGGGATTACAGGCGTGAGCCATTGCGCCTGGCCTGATTTTATTTTATTTTAGTATGTATGTATGTATGTATGTATGTATGTATGTATTTATTTATTTTGAGATGGAGTTTTGCTCTTGTCGCCCAGGCTGGAGTGCAATGGCGAGATCTCGGCTCACTGCAACCTCCACTTCCTGGTTCAAGCAATTCTGCCTCAGCCTCCCCCGTAGCTGGGATTACAGGCGCCTGCCACCACACCCGGCTAATTTTTGCATTTTTAGTAGAGACGGAGTTTCGCCATGTTGGCCAGGCTAGCCTCAAACTCCTGGCCTCGGTGATCTGCCCGCCTTGGCTTCCCAAAGTGCTGGGATTACAGGCATGAGCCACCAGGGCCAGCCTTTTTATTTTTTAGAGACGGGGGTCTCACTCTGTTGTACATGCTGGAGTGCAGTGTCACAATCATAGCTCACTGTCACCCAACTCCTGGGCTGCAGCAACTCTCACCTCAGCCTTCTGAGTGGCTGGGACTACAGGCATGCACCACCACGCCCAGCTAATTTTTTTACTTCTTTGAGGATCATTTTCCTGTTTTAAAGGGAGTATACTTGACATAGTTGTTTTAGGAGTTAAGTGAATAGTGAAGGCATAGCACTGGGTGTTCAGTAGTATTCTAGCGTGGAGGGGCAACAACCCAAGTTTTTGTTTTTGTTTTTGTTTTTTTGTTTGAGACGGAGTCTCGCTCTGTCGCCCAGGCTGGAGTGCAGTGGCGCGA